CAAACCGTTTCATTTACACAGAATCAGTCCGACGAGATTTCGCGCCAGATAAACTGCTCATGCGCGGTATCTAGCCCAATGCTGTCAAAACCTGTCGTCATTTCAATGATATTAAAACTGCAAAATGTAAAACAATTCCTATACATTCGCGGGTGCACTGTGTGTTAATTGGCAACGCTTTTCTGCTATAATAATATGATTAACATTTGTAAAGATTTTCTATGACCGCTTGGAGAATTCTGACTTGACATTGTTGATATTCGCGTGTCTCTACAAAATCTTTTAACCCTAATTAAAGCCTTACTAAAGGTTGCCAAATCACATAAAAATATTTCAAACGTATACTTTAGAAGGAGCCGATGGGTTCCTGGGAGAAATGTATCTGTTCTTAAGTCCCAGCCAGCTGCTAGTCACAACTGGTTGCCAGCGAGAAATTCAGGAAAAAAGAACTCTCCAGCCAAGGAATACTTTGTGAGAATTTTTGCTAAAAAAAATGTAAGCCTTTCTGACCATAAAAAACGTTATATAAGCCTTTTTTGAAATCAAAAGCATCTGCCAGGAACAAAATTATTTTAAAGAAGGAAGGGAGTCACATTTGCTTGTGAGATTGTCAACGATGTAGCTCAAAATCCCTTTTCCAGGAAAAAATTCGTACACTGAACAGTTATTTATAAGAACAGAACACGTTGGCTCCTCCTGATACTTCCAAATATGAGGTCGACTGTTAGTGATGTCGGAAGTTCGAAATTAACTAGTTATTTTTTTATTCTCCGGGTCGCCAAGAGACTGGGAGTTGTTTTAGGGTAGAGTGCAGTGCTTCGCAATATTTTTAAGATTTTAGAACACACAATAGTGCAAACTTTACACGCGAAAAAGTAATGTAAAAGGATATTCTAAAAAGAACTTTGCTGACTGGAACTTCAGATAAAGATAGCGGCTAAAAAGTTGAAAGTCGCGCGGATCAGTGTTTTATGCATAGTTTTTATCCTTTGAAACAATACATATTTCTATAAAACTATGAAAAGTAACATATAACAGAAGCTGAT